TGTGTGTGTGTGTGTGTGTGTGTGTGTGTGTGTGTGTGTGTGTGTGTGTGTGATTCAAGCAGAGCAGAAGGTTTTGGAAGCCCTGTCTGGCTTCTTTTACATGCCAGCATCTTCAGATACCACGGGCTGCAGAGGTGTATCCGTATACATGTCTCCTGTAATGTTATTTTGATGTGCTATTAGAAATTTGCTGAATATGGTGTATAATCAAATAAACACATGAATGTGTGCATCATTCAATTGGGGTTCTCAAGAGATATTTTAGGGTGAACTTCACCTTCATCGGCTGTGTGGTTACAGGGAAATGCTCCTGATTTAGCCTTTAGGTTCCCCTTCAAAGAGTGTCAAATTTCATTTGCAAAGAGCGACAAATTTCTCCTGATTTTTTTCTACATCTGTTTTACCTCTAAGAAAAGGTGATTTTGTAACTTTTTAAAAATCAAGTATTACATGTTGATTGTGTTTTCAAGGTGAGCACATGTTACATTATATGTCACAATATGGCATGGAAGCCGCAGCTTGGCTTTCTCGACAGTCTGGTGGCAAAGAAGCTGTCCTCAGATGACTGTATGAGGAAGGATGCAACCCAGTCCATGGTGCTCTCAGCCCAGGGACAGGAGACTGACACACTCACAGCACAGCCCATTGTGTTCTCAGCTCATGAACAGGTAGGTGGCTTACACACTGACAGTATAACCCACTGTATTCTTAGTCCAGCGACAGGCAGCTTACATACTCACAGTACATCCCATTGTGTTCTCAGTCTGTTGACAGGCGTCTTACACACTCACAGTATAGCTATTGTGTTCTCAGTCTGTGGACAGGCGGCTTACACACTCACAGTACATCCCATTGTGTTCTCAGTCTGTTGACAGGCAGCTTATACATTCACAGTACAGCCATTGTGTTCTCAGTCCATGGACAGGCAGCTTACACACTCACACAACCCAGCCCACTGTGTTCTCAGCCCATTGACAGGCAGCTAGAGAGGAAGGCTGTAGATCCCAGTGGCAATTGTGCTTTAAGACAAACTCTTGAAACACTTTAATGAGAGATGATGACATGTTTCCAGGAAAGCTCAGACTGTGAATTCTACATTTGGTTTCCTCACCATCTCTAGCATTTATCAGCTAACAGGAAAAGTCAGGACATTTCATAAGAGTGATTTGTCAAATGAGTGTCTTGGCTCACCCCTGTAACCCCAGGACTCAGGAGGTTAAAATAAAATACTGCAAAACCTAGGCTAGTCTCAGCTAGTTCAGGGACAGCCTGAGCTCTGCAAAGACTATCTCAAAAACCCAACCAACTAACCAAATAAACAAAATGGTTTTTTTAAAATCCAAACTACAGAAAATCAAGTAAATAAGGAAAATAATGTCTTAAAAATGCATTTTCACCATGATGATATTTATTTAAAAAAGCAAGTGCACATTGAAATAGAACTCAAGGGTACTTTTACTTTAAAAAAGTAAAGATCTTCTAAACTATGTATTTTAACAACATAAACATTTTACTTTAAAATAGTACAGACTATTTAAATAATAGAATAATATCTCACACAATGCTATAAGTTCTCATTAATGAACTAAAGTTAAAAATGAAAAATTGTTTTGACATTTAGCTAAACAAACCCAAGGGAGACAAAAATTGTTCCCTAAAATGACAATAAGAAAACTGAAACTATGTTCACTTTATTTCTAATTCCCTACTTATTAAACATTGAAGAAAACATTTTCACAACAAAAATGAACCCCACTGATCAGAGAGTGAAATATTATTTATCACCAAGAAGCCTGCAAAGGATGCTTCAAGAAAATACAAGGTCACAGCTTAGGAAAGTGTGTTCAAACATTTAGAACAGTTGGTAAGCCATCTTATTTGGCTTTTGCTGTTTCATAAGTATATTCATAGTAGGGATGTGTATACTAGAGCAGTAATTAGTTTCTAAATCCTTTGTGGGACAATGGGCACCTCTTCTGGAAACACGTCAGGCTCCAACATCACCACAGCACAGAACACAGCTGGTAGGTAGGCACCATGCTTTGGCATGCAGCAGCATCCTATGCTCTGTTTGTGTTTCTGACCAGGCCATGGTGTGAGTGGGCTTCAGGTTCTTTCTGTTGTACTGTGGAAGATGTCTGGCTATACTCTGTGGGTTGCTGTGGGGAATGCACAGGGAAGTGCATGTGAGTACTTAGTTCCCTTTCTGTAGTGATATTTCATTTGTATTTTAAGAATTAAAGCTTGCCTGAAGATCAGATGTAAAAAGAGCAGTGGGCTGCATTTCCGCTGCCCGTTTGGCTAGCTTTACCCGAAATAATTACACGGAAACTGTATTCTTTTAAACACTGCTTAGCCCATTAGTTTCAGCCTCTTATTGGCTAATTCTCACATCTTGGTTAACCCATTTCTAATACTCTGTGTAGCACCACGAGGTGGTGGCTTACCAGGAGGATTCTAACCGGCATCCATCTCAGAGAGGAGAGTCATGGCGACTGCCTGCCTCTGCTTTCTTTCTCCCACAATTCTGTTCTGTCTACTCCACCCACCTACGGGCTGGCCTATCAAAAAGGCCAAGGCAGTCTCTTTATTAACCAATGAAAGTAAGAATAGACAGATAACCCTCCTCCATCAATCAGAGAGTAAAACTGGTCTACTGGTCAGCCTTACAGACCAGGCAGTGGTGACACACACCTTTAATCCCAGTTACCACACTAGTCTGTCATAGAAACCGGGCGGTGCATACCTTTAATCCCAGTGGTGCATAACTTTAATTCCAGCCCTAGAAAGGAATATAAGTGGTAGGAGACAACTCTCAGTCTCATTCTGAGATTCCTGGAGGCAGGATCTCCATTTCAGACTGAGGGAGAGTTAAGAGTCGGTGGCTGGCTGTTTTTGCTTTTCTGGTCTTCAGGCAAGCTTTATTTATTAAAATACAAATAAAATGTCAGTACACTTTTATGCTGTATTCTTCCTAGAACCTCAGTTTATCTGGAAACCTTTGAAATTTTTCCTGTTTTTCTGTTGCCAATGTCATAGTTACGATAGGCTAACATTGGGTAAGGATAGATCCTAACCTAGAGCCTAATATCTTTGGAAACTGGAGAAAATTTGGGCACATGTCCCTACACAGAGAGAAAGTCACATGATAGTGTGGGCAAGAGTCTGATGTGATAGTCTACATGCTAAGGTAAGCCAAGGATAGTTCCTGTAACTACGAAAAGCCGGAAAGAGACCAGCAACAATGTTCCCTACCCCTCTCAGAGCCGTTGCTCAGCTCACACGTTAATTTTGGATTCCTAAGCTCTGGACTGTGATACAGTGTTTTAAACACTCAGTTCGTGGGACCCTGCTCTATGATTCCAGGGAACCAATCTAGCACATCGGCCTAACACATTCTTTATGTGATCAAAAGAGGAGATCACCCAGGGGTGAAAGAGCCCCAGTGTGATCAGCCAGAACCTATGTCACAAAGCTCAGGGCCATCTATCTGTATGGAATTTGAAAACAAATGCCAAGCTGAGATCCACATGGAAATCAGGAAGCAGAATGCTGAGACTGACCTTGGGCAGCAGGTGTCTGCTATAGCTTAGAGGTAAAGCCCTCCATCTTCACGGATCTGACAGGAGGAGCCCATGAGCCCTGCCGTCCTCACTTCTGCTTCTCCTCACAGCACAATGGCAGCAGGGAGCGGCGGCTTTATGTGGCTGGGGAAGCAGACTGGAGAGGCAGGCAGGGTTTAACCAAGGCCTTTGTGATGTCTTTCAGTTTCTGGACACCACTGAAGAGTTCTAAACCAAACCTTTCTTTTTTTTGAGACCTAAATAATATGAACTTTTATTAAAACATTGAAGTTGAGAGAGATGACAGGGAGTGCCTTAGTGAGAGTTGGGGGGGGGGTGATAGGAAAACTAATCCTATCAATAGCAAGTCTTTGAACCAACAGGTCTAGCAAACCCTGTAGCTTGTCAGAACTGCAGAGGCCCCACTGCAGGCCTGGGTCAGACACTGGGATGGAGGCCCAGACTTCTGAGTCTGAGCAGCATTCCCATTGCTGTTCCTGCGAGGTAAACTCTGCTGTAGCCAGAGCAGCGTGTCTTGAACAGATGTGGCCACAGTGATCACATATATTTCAGTCTCCCCAAAGGTGTTACAGAGCCTGCAAAGTTACAGAGCCACACAAAACATGTCTTCTCTTTTCCAGACTGCTCCTCCTGAACTCCCTTAGGAAAAAAACAACAACAACAACACAAGAATCCAGCCTTTTCTTCTGTTTCTGCCAGCCTCTGTCTAGGAGAAACATTTGTCACCACTCAGCTGGACTCTTGACAATGTGCCCCCTTCCAGTCTCTCTGCTCCTGCTCTGAGTCCCCAGTCCTAGCAGAGTATCATCTGGGTACCACAACTTCAGCATCACCCGCTCCAAGGGGAGTTGAACCAGAACCTGCCAGGAGCTCATGGACCTCTGAAAAGCCCAGCATAAAAGTCCGTCTTCTGTGCTGTAGCTAGGAGCACTGTCTGAGACTATTATTGGTTAGACCACAAATATTTCATTGAATTGTGTCCTTCAGTGGATTCTCCTTCAGTCACTTAGATTCTGAAGTACTTGCCGCTTGCTCGAGTTTGAAAAGACTTTGGTTAAACAGAGCTCTCTCCTAGCTGCTAGACTTCGCTGTGTGCCACTCTGCATGGGGCTTACTAGGTCTCACCTACTTTGCCAACTCTACCAATACCGGAACAAGTTGATTTTTCCCTTCTTTGAATCTTTTTCTTGACCTAGAACAACCAACCATCTCCTATTTCTCTCTCTCTCTCTCTCTCTCTCTCTCTCTCTCTCTCTCTCTCTCTCTCACACACACACACACACACACACACACACTTGTCTGTAGTTGACACCTCATTCTATACTGACATGTAAGAATGGCTCTCTTAGAGGGAGTTTTGGCATATGCTTATAATCTCAGCATTTGGACACCAAGACAAAAGATCACGAGTTCAAGTCCATCCCAAGTGTCTTAGGGTTTCTATGGCTGTGATGGAAACACCATAACCAAAGCCACTTGGAAAGGAAAGGTTTATTTGGTTTACATTTCTTGTGTCACAGTATATTGAGGGAAGCCAAGGGAGAAACTGAAACAAAGTGGGAACCTGGGGGCAGAAGCTGATGCGGAGGCCATGGACGAGTGCAGCTTACTGACTTTCGGCTAATAGTCTGCTCAGCAGCCTGTTTTCTTATGGAACCCAGAACCACAAGTTAGGGGTGGCACCACCCGCGCTGGGCTTGGGTCTCCCATATCAGTCACTAATTAAGAAAATGCCCTATAGTCTTGTCTACAGCTTAGTCTTATGGAAGTTTTTTCTCAGCTGGGGTTCTTGCCTCTCAGATGACTCTAGTTTGTGTTAAGTTCACATTAAAACTAGCGGTCACACCAAGCTATATGGCAACACTCTGTTCAAAACTCTAGAGGCTGGGAATGCAACTATGTAGTAAAGAACTCGTCCAGCATGCACAAGTCCATGGGCTCCATCCCTAGCACTGCAAAACAAAACAAATCAAAAAGTAAACAAACATTAAAGAGGGTATTCTGTCTTCTGAGGTCATTCTACATCACCATATTGTTCCTTTTCTGATCATCTTCATGATTATGCTGTGTGGTTACATTAGTTACTCATTTTCTTCTCGTTACCATGATATCATGGGTTTCTATTGCTGTGGTAAAACACCATGACCGAAAACAACTCCGGGAACAAGGTGATTATTTCATCTTACACTTCCAGATAATATAAAAATAACAATTCATCATTGAAGAAGGTCAAGACAGGAACTTCAGGATAGGAACTGATGCAGAGGCCATGGAGAAATATTACCGACTTGTTCTTCATGGTTTGCTCAGCCTGCTTTATAGACCCCGGACCATTAGCCAATGGGTGGCACCACCCACAGTGAAGTGGACCCTCCGCCATCCAACATCAGTGAAGAAAATACACCACAACATCTTCCATGGGCAGTATGGTGGGGACATTTTCTTGGATGAGGTTTTCCCTCTTACAAAGTGACTCTAGCTTGTGTAAGCTGACATCAAACTAAGCAGCACACCAGACTATATATTTGCTATTTGAGGGTAAAATTTTTATAGGCTACTATCATTGCATTATTCTCGGGGCATGAGAAATACAATAACAATGTTATTTTCTTTCTTTGTTCCTTCCTTCCTTTTTCTCTTTTCTTTTCTTTCTTTCCTTCCTTCCTTCCTTCCTTCCTTCCTTCCTTTCTTTCTTTCTTTCTTTCTTTCTTTTTTTGAAGACAGGGTTTCTCTGTATCTTTGGAGCCTGTCCTGGAGCTCGCTCTTGTAGACCAGGCTCACCTCGAACTCACAGAGATCTGCCTGCCTCTGCATCCCATTGCTGGGACTAAAGTCGTGCATTACCACTTCCCGGCTAATAATAACATTATTTAATGCCTGTGCCAGACAAGCTTCTCTCTGCCACATTTTGAGTGGTCTGAGTATATACGCCATGAGAGTCATAGCCCCAGTGCACATATCAGGGCCTTATGGGTTTCAGGCATCAAAAGAAGGCTGAAGTTTCTCCCTGTCTCTTCAACTAGATTCTAGGTACACAAGAGTTCTGTGCCTGCCCTGTTGTCAACTGCTGTGCCACCTGATACTTGAGCCAAGGGCTGGAGCTCTGGGAGTCTAACTGCATATCTGCCCCAGAACGCATTCAAATGCAGAAATCCGTGCCCACAATCCCAGCTGTCCTGAACACAGAGATAGAAAGGTAGCTGGAGTTTCGCCATTCAAGACTAGCCTAGACAACTAGCAAGACAGTGTTTCTTACAAGGAAAAAGACAGGAGGGGAAGAAAGGTGGAAGGGAGGGAAAGATGGAGGGAGAAACCAAATCTAGTTCACAAGTGAAAGAGAGCTGACTCAGGCTCAGTCCAGAACAGAGCAGGTGGTGTGACTGTCCTTCCCATGGTGTGACTGTCCTCCCTGAGGTGTGACTGTCCTTCCCTTGGTGTGA